AATAAAGATCAGTCGGTTTTTAACACGACTAAATAAAAACTGTAATTCTGTTGACGAAATAGAAGAAAATCAAAACCATACTTCTATTCATGTTCCGGAATATCTCATCTAAGATATTTTTGGAAGCTGACAAGAAAATGAGAAATGAGATTATTGTTCTTCTTCTCATAATTATATTAGAATAATCATAGAAGAAGAGAGTTGAGATCAAAGTCAAAAACAGAGCTTTACAAAAAGATAATAAACAGATTCGTGCATTTGGTTTTGACAGTTCGAATGACGATGTCAATTCTCTTTTCAATTAGAGAGCATAGAATTCGTATACAGATAATCATTCATTTCACATATGAATATTACTCGTCTGACGAATAATTTCATAGTCATGCTACTACAATAGCATAAGTTGCATCCAGTACAATAGAAAAAGATTCTTCTCTTCATTATAATTCTACAACTATAGAATATTAGAACAACTGTATTAGGATTTTATCATTTCTAATAAGAATATTGAGCTAGAAGCACTAAAATAAATAATCTACTGGAGTTTTTTCACTCGAAAAAGATAATTAGTAGAAGATAATAGAAAGTATTCTATGTGATATGATACAACTTGGAAAAAGAGAATTAACTAAAATTTACTGATATCATTCTTCAAATGAATAGGCCCACACTAGTGAAAGTATTGAGAAGTTGGCGACGAACTAAGTTAGGTTCCTAAAGCAAAGAAGGCATGTTTTTCAATTTCCCTAGATTTATGGGATAAAATGGTAATGAATTAGGTCAAAGCCAGTCCCTCGTTTTTTTGTTTTCGTCCATAAATAGAAGGAAATGCAATCAACCTGCAATGACAGCTATCATATTTATCATAACTACCATCTCCTGTAAAGCTTTAATTACGTATTGTTTCTGACATTGAGAAGATTTTCATGATATTAGAAAAGAAGATTTTTATCATGCTAAATCTCAAACAGAAATGATCTATTTCAGAGAGTATGAAGTTGACGGTCTTAATAAAAATCTGAATGCATTTAAATGATCATATCATTTTTTTTTCTTCACATTTATTATTATCTGTGCCAATTTCATTTGAAAGTTATTAGATAGTCCAAGTGCATAAGAAACAAATTTTCACGCAATAAATCAAATACAAGATGTCATCTATGGATACGGTTATAATGTATCAAACGGCTACGCTGTATCTTTATAAAATCTGGGGATCAATAGTGACCATCCTTGGAACTATAGGTGGATTGTTTTGTCTGTGTGTATTTGGACAGAAATCCATCCGTAAAAATCCAGGTTCTATCTATTTTATTGCATTCAATATCGTCAATATTCTTTTAATATGGAATGTTCTCGTTCCATTTGTTTATCTTCACTGGACTGGTTTTGATCTTACTACGTTCAATCTCATCTATTGTCGATTTCGACAATATCTATTAAATGTGTTAATGATATTACCATCATCCTATTTGATTTTATCTTCAATTGATCGAACTTTAATTACTTCTCGTAATGCTTTGACAAGACAACGAAGCACTCGACGTTTGGCCTTGTGGTCAATTAGTGGAATAACTCTTCTATGACTTCTCTACTATTCTCACATTTTGTTTCTTGTTAATATTCAATCACCTGCTCCTGGTGTTTCTTTTTGTTTTTACAAATCTGGCGTCTATTCTATGTTAATGAGTTATTCTACGATGATAGTAACTGGTTTTTTACCACCACTTGTAATGGCGATCTTTGGCATATTGGCAATAAGAAATTTTCGACATGTTCGACTTCATCCTACTCCAGACGAATCTAATACTGCTGGTCCATTATCGTCGAAAGATCGTCAATTAACTATTATGTTATTATTTGAAGTTCTTGTTTTTATTATCTTTTCATTGATAGGATCGATCTTTTTTGTCTATACACAAAGAATTCCAGATGAAAGTAAAACTATAGAACAACAAGCTTTGGATTTTTTTCTTCTTGATGTTGGTATAAATCTCGTACTTGCACAATCTGCTACAAGTTGCTACGTAAATCTGATCGTTTCAAAAAGTTTTCGCCAAAATATTCAAAAACTTATTTGGAAAATAATTCCTGATTATTGTCGTCGAAAATTGGTAAATCATTGGCCAAATTTAGCAGCAAATCCATTAAATAAAGCTCCTACAGCTGGAACAGCTCAGATGCGCACACAACTTGCACATAAATGAAATCTAACAATACTCCTATAGACATTTTCTTTGTTGTCATGTTTTTTCTCTGTATACTCAATTAAATTTTTGAATTGGTGTTTATATCAATATTTTTGCGCGTTACAAATGTTTCATTCAATATATCTAAATGTCATTTTCAAACGAGTCAAACATTCTATTTGATCGTTCGAATCATGAGAGTGTGGGTGCTGTCTTCTCTTTCTCCACACCACCCACACCCTTATTTATATTAGAAGATCAGAAGTTAAGGTGAACTTCTCTAGTTTATTTATACATGAGAAATGAAGTAAATATAACAGAGACAGTAACTCAGTTACATGAAGAGACAGAATCTGAAAAAGAACA